TTTGGTTTACTTTTCTGTTTCTTCGTCCACTACAAAGGGGGCCACTTCCATCTTGTCCCAAGTGCAAGTGCCCGCCACCGCGGCGACCCTCTCCTGTAAACCTGCGCTGACCGAGTGGGGTGAAGCGGGCCCCGGCAGCCCGGCCCTCCCAGCTCCCCCCCCCCCCCCCCCGCGAGCCGGGGCGGAGGACCCACCCACCCGCCCGCCGAAGCCCCGGGCCCTGCACCCGGCCGCACCCCTAGGAAGTCCGGCTTAGCCAACGGAGCGCGGGAGAAAAGAGGGGCCAGTGAGGCGTCAGAGGCCGGAGGGGCCGAACCCGGACAGGCCCGCGGGAGCTGGGCGCTTCCGCTTCTCCCGCGAGGATCGCCAGCCGTTCCCGCCGGAAGCCAGGCCGCCGGGCAAAGACGGGATCGGAGCTCCCGAGACGTGGCAGGAGCGCACCCGCCGCGGCCTCGCTCCCATCCCCGCCTCTGGATCGCCCCTTCCCGTCGGGAGAACCCCCGCCCCCGCAGGCAGCCACGTGAGCGCACACGCACACCCAGAGGCTTCCGATTCGGGGCCACTCACAGGCGCAGCGGCTTCTGGGCCATCGGTCCCAAACCCCGGGTGGGCACCGCCAAAGCTCGGAACCCGCACCGCGCTCCTCCGGGCAGTGCGGTCGCAGCACAATAAGACGTCAGCGCATCCCCGCCAATGAGGGCTCTCCCACCTACGGGGAGCGCCGAGGGACAGAAGCCTCTTGCAGGTGCGTTCTCCTCGAGGAGGAATTGAGAGCGCAAAGAGGGAGAAAGGGGAAAGAGCATAAAGGAATCCCATTGTGATTTTCTATTTCCGGGCAATTGGAGTGTCTCAGCTGCTAGAAAGTTCCCAGCACACACCTCACACCTGTGAGGATGGCTGTCATCAAAACGACAAGAAATAACAAATGTTGGCAAGGATTTGGAGAAAAGGGAACCCCTGTGCACTCCAGGGGGGCAATGTAAACGGCTGCAGTCACTATGGAAAACAATATGGAGCTTCCTCAAAACATTAAAAATAGAACTACCATATGATTCAGCAATTCTACTTCTGGGAATTTATCTGAAGGAAATAAAAGCACTAACTCAAAAAGATATCGGCACCCACAAATCCATTGCAGCATTATTTACAATAGCCAATACATGGAAGTGTACATCAATGGGAAAATGGGTAAAGAAATGTTGTCTATATACACAATGGAAAATTATTCAGCCATAAAAAAGAAGAAAATCCTGTCATTTGTGACAACATGAATAGATAGCATTATGTTAAGTGAAATAAGTCAAAGAGAAGTACTACATGGTTTCACTTATATGTGGAATAATTTTTTAAAAATTCACAGATACAGAGAGCAAATTAGTGTTTGCTAGAGGTGGGGGTGGGGGATCAGCTAAATGGGTGAATGTGGTCAAAAGGTACAAACTTCCAGTTTTAAAATAAGACAGGATATAATGTTCAGCAGGGTGACTATAGTTAATAATACTGTGTTGTATATTTGAAAGCTGCTAAGATATCTTAAAAGTTCTTATCACACACAAAAATCTGTAACCGTAAAAAAAAAAAAAGTTCCCAGCACAATGTTGGATCCTAACCTAACCATATTACGCTAGAGAGCAAGACGCTCCCCCCACACTGGCTTTTCATAGGTTTTGAACCTTTTGGAAAATTAAAAGAATGGCCATCGCCTTCAAGGTGCACAATCACTTTTATTCTCACTGAATCATCTGAAAGTAAATTCCAGACATCAAGAAGACCCCTGCATGCATTTCCCAAGAGTAAGGACCATCCTCCTACATAACCATAACACCATTAACACCTAAGAAAATTAACATTAACTCAGTATCACCTAGTACATCCATATTTAAAGTTCTTCATTTGTCCCCACGCCCCCCCCCCCACCACACACACACAATTTATTTTATACCTTTATTTGTTTTCAGTCGGGATCCAATCAAGTTTCACACTTACATTCAATTATATCTCTAGTCTCCTTTAATCTCCCATAGCCCACCTACATTTTGGTTTTGTTTTTCATGACTGACTTTTTTGGAGAGTTCAGGCCAGTCGGTAGGAGATAGCAATGTTTAAAGAAATGGAAACAAAGGTCAGAGAGTTCCTGACAATTGAAGGACATGGAAAAGTCATCAAGGGCAGCCAAACAATTCAAAATTAACTAAAACGTAAAGTAAGTTTAAGGAAGAACAACAAAGTTCTGGTTTTCCTCACAACTTCTGCAAAGCTTTTTGGGGCAATATCAAGTTCCCTGCCTCATAAATATTGATGCCCCAGCTTCGCTGGCAAACTAAGCATGTGTTTTTCCACTTTGGGGTAATGCAGCACAGCCCAGGAATAGAGATCAAGACTGAATTTTGAAGAAGAGTAGAAGTTTGCCAAACATGGACGAATAATAATTTCAGAAAGAAAACAACAGTAAGAAATGAAAACTCATCCATGGAATTCTGCATTATCTTCAAAACTTTTTTGCAAATCTAAAACTATTCTAAATAGAAAGTTTATGAAAAGAAAACTCATCCGTGGGAATGAAGGTGGATCAAGAGAGTTAAACACAATGTAAGTGTAACAAAAAATGAAATTTAAAAAAAGGAAAAAAAAAAACAAAACAGGAGCCTTGTATGCATGCCAAGCTTGGCTTTAGAATACACATTCTTCCCAAGTGCACTTGGAACATTCTCCAGAATAGGTTAGGGCACAAAACAAGTTTCAACAAATTCAAGAAGATAGAAATTATATCAAGTATCTTCACACCACAAAGGTGTGAAACTAGAATTCAGTAACAGGAGGAAAGCTAGAAAATTGATGAATATGTGGAAATTAAGCAACACATTCCTAAACAACCAATGGACCAAAAAAGAAATCAAAAGGAATATAAAAGAATATCTTGAGACAAATGAAAATGAAAACACAACATACCAAAACGTATGGATGTAGCAAAAGCAGTTCTAAGAGGAAAGTTTATAGCTATAGATGTCTTTATTAAGAGACACTATCTCAAATAAACAACCTAACATTACACCTCAAGGAACTAGAAAAAGAGTATACTAAGCCTGAAGTTAGAAGACAGGGAACAATTAAGATTAGAGCAGAATAAAAGAAATAGTCCAGAGTATAAACAGTGGTGGTCTGGAACACAGATAGTGGGAAATGATGGAAACAAAGTTAAGAACTGTTTTTGGAGATGGAATTGAGGACCTCACCCACCTTCCTAGCTGCTAACACCCAACTATGGATAAGATTGCCTGTCTTCTAAACTACACTGGTCAGTCAGTATTATCCACCTACTGATGTCCTTAGTCTGGGAGGAAGATGATCAGGTCCCCAGGAGCCCCCCTCATCCTGCAAACAAAAGTAGGAACATATTTTATAAAATGTTTTTTTTTATGAGTGGCAGCCCCACCTGCCCACCCCCACCTCATACATACATACACATACACATTCTGTCTTTGTCTTTATCACATTTCCAAAGGGGGATACATGTCAAGATGTCATCCATCCTGAGACATCCGATTCACACAAAGAAGAGACAGGAGGGCCCATCACATACACAAACTATCACAACACTCCTTTCACTGTTTCTGCTCAGTCTAAAAGACTCGGCCTGAAATTATTTTAAGATTTTTTATTATTATTTACTTTTACAGAAAAGTAAATTACTGACACAAGCTGAGAAACTGTGAAGAAGTTTGTTTTATTTTCCTTTTTTAATTTAGATTCTTGTTAGCAATACATTAGCTCAATAGAAAAAAAAAAAACATTTACACAGTAACTCAAAATCCAGCCACTTAGAAAATAAGCCCTCTCATTTGATTCGACTGAAAAGCCCAGGTTTATCCTGAACTTTGAGAGACTTAGTGTCCTAAATGGATAATTAAACATTCAAGTAAAAGGTAGGGGGTAATAAGTGTGCGTTTCTGAGGGATACTGCCCCAAGAGAAATTCAGGAGTAGCCACAGTTCTCCAGTTTACTCCAATGGCGGGATGTTTCTGGGACGGCCAGCATGGTTTCCTTTTGAGGAGTTGTGACAATTCATCAGCCTCAGGATTCAGGTCTCATTCTTCCACATTAAAAAAGACTTTGTTCCACAGGCATAAGTTTTTCATCGCTTCTCCAGCTTCTTGTACTTGGCTTCTGCAAGGGTGAGAGTTATATTTAAAACTGGCTCTTACAAAGATACTTCTTCATTAGTATTTCCTAGTAAGTTAAAAAATGTTTATTACATTAAAAAAAATTTTATTAGCCCCAATCTCATCAGCTGTCCAAATTGTAGGCACACCATAAATGTTAACTACCATATTAGCTAAAGACAGATATTTGAATATCTATCTAAATTTTATTGATAGGCACAGCTTAAGGTAAGAAGTCAAACACACACATAGAATAAAGAACCCAACACAAGTTCACTATGTTCTAACCCTGTCAACAGCACCTGCTCAGATGGCTCCACAGGGAGTAAGCAGATCTACCGGCACTTGAGCCACTAGGAGCGTAGGAAATGGCCTCTCCAGGCACTGTGCCAGGCACCCTCTGGGAGCCAGACTGGAACTCTCAGGAAGTATAAATGTATGTTTTACCTTTTATTGTCTTATCCCCAGAAAGCAATTTTGAAAGATACAAAGACTTAAAAGACCATCAAATAGGCTTTTTAATGGAGTGGATTCGCTTTGTCTTTAAAACTTTAAAAGCACCTTAGTACAATGCCGCCTATATAGTTAGGTTCAAGGTCACCATTCAGAAAATTTAATTTTAGACAATGAAACTGTGAATCACCACCCACATCAAATCTCAGTCTGCTACAAACTACTCTCTCGAAGTAGTCAACAATTGTTTCTGATAAAAATAAAATAATCTGTAAATTATATCTAGGATAAAAACAACTTTGTTATTTTTAGTCATGGTTATAAGAGCCAGAAACAGTAAGCCATCAACACTAAAAGTACTGTTTCCTCCTTAAAGAAAAAGTAATTCTTGAAGAAAACCCTTGCATAACTATCCTGTTTATTAAGACATATGTATCTACATTATTAAAGATGCTCTAGCTCTAGCCTGCTGAACCACAGTTAAGAGCTTGAGCTTTGTAATCAATCAGACCTGGTTTGGAATACAGCTCTTCCACATACTAGCTTTGTATCCTTATAAGCTATTTATCCTCTTCAACCAGTTTCCTTCTCTATAAAATAAGGATAAAAATCATGTACTTATCTCATAGGTTATTGAGAGGATAAAAAACATAATATATGTAAAGCACTAAGAACAGTGCCTGATATATCAAATACCCAGAAAATGTTAATTACTATAGTACTACTAAGAAATTATTCTCACTAGGTTCTTGTGAAGATTAAAATAAATCATTGTAGCCCTGCCCAGATGGCTCAGTTGGTTGGAGAGTTGTCCTGTGCACCAAAAGGTGACAGGTTTGATTCCCGGTCAGAGCACATATGTCAGTTGCAGGTTCAATCCTCAGTCAGGGCACTTATGGGAGGTAACTGATCAATGTTCTCTCTCATAGCGATGTCTCTCTCTCTCTCTCTCTCTCTCTCTCTCTCTCTCTCTCTCTTTTTCTCCTCTCCCTCCCTCTCCCTCTGTCTCTGTCTCCCTCTCCCTCTCCCTCTCCCTCTCCCTCTCCCTCCCTCCCTCCCAACATATCCTCGGGTGAGCATTAAAAAGAAAAAAAGATCATTGTAAGCACCTCGTCAATATTAACTATCATATTAGCTAAGGTCATAACGGCAGGTACTCTTATTAAGCAAAACAGAAATAAAAACGGTTACCCAGTTTTTTGGAATATGCATCCAATTTGTAGGCTGCCTGTTCAAGAGCTGCTACTTGCTCCTCAATTACATTGATTTGATCCAGATAAGGCTGTAGTTCAGCATCTTTGAAAACAAAGACAGGCCACATGTTTCTATGGCTTCAACAAGTGGAATAGAAAAGACTGAAAATGTGAGAGTGCTAGTGTCTCTCCAGCTCTGCCTAAGGCACACAAGGTGGGAAGACATGATTCTGATGACAAACGCTTTAGAAGACAGTAGCTAGCTGATCAGGCATGACTGTGACCTACACAAAACAAGTCTCTCTCATCCATTAACTTTGTCTCTTAAATTCCTTATTCTACAAGCAATCTTTCCATTACAGATTCCATATCTTGGGGACTCCCAGACCAGGAAAGAGACAAGGAACACAAATATAAGCTAATGGGAAAAATATAGTCTACCATCTAAATGAGCATTTTCCATTGATAGATGTTCTGGTTTTCTGTTCATAAGAGTAATCCTTTATGGATTTCATTGTTAAATCAATTCACTGATTTCATTGTTAAATCAGAATCTGGCCACCCTTTCTTTTCCCCATCCCTTTTCAGGAATAAACTGATCAAATCAAGATTCAGAAGCAGAAATAACCATACCACCAAAACATGCTGCTCCTCAGAATGGAAGAAATGCACCTTAACTTTGTAATTCACTTAGAAAATGAGCTCCCTGAGTACAGAGACCATGTTCCATCTCCTTCTCCATGGCCCCAAGCATAACAGAACATTTATTACAAATGTGTAATTATAAAAATTATTACTTACACTTCTGGTTTAAGTCCTTTAGGTTTCTACTAATGTTTATAGCAATATCTTTCATTTCAAGATACTTCAGGCTGGTTAATTTATTCATATTTTCCAGGAGCTTATAGTCTTCGCTGGTGGCTTTAAAACAAACAGAAGATATAATGCCTTTAATATTTGTCTTGGATAATTGGAATGTGGAATTAGAGGCCAACTGGTAGTTCAAGGCAGGATCTAGGGCAGTGATGGCGAACCTTTTGAGCTCGGCATGTCAGCATTTTGAAAAACCCTAACTTAACTCTGGTGCCGTGTCACATATAGAAATTTTTTGATATTTGCAACCATAGTAAAACAAAGACTTATATTTTTGATATTTATTTTATATATTTAAATGCCATTTAACAAAGAAAAATCAACCCAAAAAATGAGTTCGCGTGTCACCTCTGACACGTGTGTCATAGGTTCGCCATCACTGATCTAGGGAATGTCAAAGGAGCAAGCCACTTTTGACCTATGACATTTATACTCAGCCTGTGTACTCTAAATGTCTAAGCAGAAACTCAGGCAACAATCAGCAAATTATTTAAACCAAATAAGATCCATAAACTTCAGGATCTGGGTTAGAAAGGGATATGATAAACGTATGTCCTAAGAAAAGGGAAGTGAAATAGACTTGGTATTTCTACAGTGTGAAAACATGTAAACTGGGGAACTGCACCATAAATGTTATTTATATATATAGTCAACTAGGACCTTACCACTTCTTAGTAACTCACTTATTACTATGTGATGATTCTACACTGCATTTTATGCACTGACTTTTCCAAACCATTTGCCTGCTTCTCATATTCTCAATTCTTTGCCCCATCCCTACTCAAAGCACATGGCTTCTACTCCAATTTTCTCAAGCTGCCTCAGCCTTTTTGCCTCACTTAGAAATTTCTCTGTACCTTAATATCTTCCCCAGAGGTACAAGTGCTTTATTCCTGCCAAGACAACTCCACCTGCTGTGTTCTTGATCCCCAACTCTCCTATCTCTTCAGGGCCTCTCTTCAATCATCTCCTTTCTCTTGCATTTCCAAACTCTTTCCTCCTTGGATCTTCCTCTCTATTAGAAATATATCCAGGTTTCCTCCAGCCCAAAAGCACTCATTTGCTCAAGAAAGCAGCTTCACTGCTAACTCTTTTGAAAGTATAGTTTACACTCACTGCTTCCTCATCCTCACCATTCACTCATGTGAACCCCTGCGGTCTGGCCTCTGCCCCTACCATCCTGAGAAATTACATGCCCCAAAGTCTCCTAACCATGAAATCCTTAGTTCTAATTCTCCTGAACCTCTCTATAGTGTCTGAAACTATGCTCTCCCTCTCTTCAGGAAATTCTCCCTTGGCTGCTATAGAATTGTATACTGTATTACAATGATTTTTAAATCTCCTTCTAACTGTTCTTTTTAGGTTTCTATGCCAGATCCTTTTTAAACCAACCTCATTAACGGTCAGTTCTCAAATTTTCTCAACTGTGACGCATAACTGACGTTTACACGGGTGGCACATTCCCATGGTATTTCCTTTCAAACTCAAAAAAGTATTTATGCAAGTAAAAATGACAATCGGGGGAAATTACAATCTGCTTAAAATTAGTCAATCAGCCCTAGCCGGTTTGGCTCAGTGGATAGAGCGTCAGCCTGCTGACTGAAGGGTCCCAGGTTTGATTCTGGCCAAGGGCACATGCCGGGGTTGCAGGCTCCATCCCCAGTAGGGGGCATGCAGGGGGCGGCCGATCAATGATTCCCTCTCTCATCATGCTTCTCTCTCTCTCTCCCTCTCCCTTCCTCTCTGAAATCAATAAAGATATATTTTAAATTTAAAAAAATTTAATCAATCATCTGCAAACTAGGTATTTAAAATACTGTTATTAAAAGCAAATTAATTGCCCTATGCCGGCATTCCCTGAGATTTTAGTCTAGGTGCTCTGATCTACCTCTAAGCTCTTCCTTGCCAATCTCATCCTGCACAGCTTCAGCTCACAGCACTATGCAGGTGCCCCCCCCCCTCCCCCTGCATAGTAAAATCTGTTTTTCCTGCTCTGACCACTCTTTGAGATCTGGACTCATGTGTTCAAGTCACCTGAGTGTCTTAATAGTAGTCAACTGAGTGTCCTGGTAATATCTAAAATCAGCCAAGCCAAAACTGAAAATATTATTTTCACATTAAGCATAGTTCCTCTTTCCAACTTCCCTATTTTGGTTGATGGTACCACCCAGGCTTAATAGCTCAAATACTAGTACATCCATCTTGGGCTGCTCCCAATCCCTCAATACCCACCTTAACAAGTTCTACAAATCCCACTTCTATAATGTTCTTGCACCCATGCCTTCCTTTCCATTCCTTTTACAATCACTCCGTCACACTGGACCAGACTTCACCTTTTGGACCCTCCTCAGCACATAGATCATGTGTTCATCTGGAAATACACCAGGAACCAAAACCTTAATCACCCAAGGGGTGTCACCAAATCCTCTGACCAACCCAACAGGTCCCTAAATCTGCAGGTCACTCCCCATTCCCCAATCCCTTTTCTCTCTGCCCCAATAAATACAACTGTTTTGGCCAAACACATTACTCACTTATACCACTACACTCGCTCGCGCGTACACACACACACACACACACACACACACACACACACGCACGCACTGGTTGTTTCCCTCCTTTTGGGCAATCATTCCCTTCACAACCTGCTCAAAATGCCCTTCCGCCAAGGAGGCACTTCTTGATTCTTTTTTGTTTTCTCAGCGTTAGTCTGCAATACGGAGGCCTGTAGAGTTGTATTAAGTATTTTTATGTGTCTGGTTTTTAAAAATATATATATTTTTATTGACTTCAGAGAGGAAGGGAGAGGGAGAGAGAAAGATAGACACATCCATGATGAGAATCATGGACCGGCTGCCTCCTGCACGCCCCCTACTGGGGATCGAGCCTGCAACCTGGGAACGTGCCCTGACCCCCTGACCGGGAATCGAACCTGGGACCCTTCAGTGCACAGGCCAACGCTCTATCCACTGAGCCACACCGGCCGGGCTTCTTATGTGTTTTTGAAGGCAGTTCGTGAATTTCTCCAGGGAAGGAATGACCCTCTTTCCTTCCCATTCATGACGAGGCCAAACTTCCAACAGGCATGTTTCTGGGCAGGTGGGGTTCGGGAGAGGGGGGCGCAGACCGAGGCTGCGGAAGCACCTCCCAGGTGCCCCCCCCCCCCCCACGATGAACCGCGGCTCCGGCGAGGGGTGCCCCGCCTCACCCGTCAGTTCCCCAGTCAGGTAAGTTGCCATCTTGGAGAACATGTCCCGGCAGAGCTCAGTGATGTCAGCCTCCGCGGGCTCCTTGGCCTCCTCCGCCGTCTCCACCGCGGCATCGTCTGGATCAAAGGAGAATGGCCGAGTGTCCTGCCCACGGCCGGTCCCCATCCAGCCCCGGCATCCGCTCCCGCGTCCCTCCACCGGCCCTCATTCAATCGAGTCGGCTAAATTCCCCAATGAGCCGTACTTCCAGGCCCTCACTCCGTCCGGGTCCCCCTGACACATCAACTCTGCTCCCTCGCACCGGCTTCAGCGCCCACCGACTCCGCCGCCAACCATCTCACTCGCCCCGACCGGGCACAGGACACACCTGCACACACGGGTCCGCCCCTCCGCCCAGGTGACCCCGGCATCCGGGCCCCGGCCCACATTCCCAGGCCTCCCTCCGGACACTTCATCCCCCTCCACTCGGCGTACCTCTAACCGGCTCCTCTCGTTGGCTCGCAGGGACACCTTCGGGCGCCGCCGCCGCCGCCATGCTGGGCCCCGCGCCGCTTCCGGTTGGGGCGGGCCTGCGCATGCGCACCGGGAGCCCTGGGTTCCCACGCCCTCTCTCCGCGAAGTCTTGCCGCGCAAGTTTGAGTAACAAAATGTAAGCGTGAAGCCACCATTGAAGCTAAGAAAGGCTATCGTGAGTGGATCCACTGCCAAGAGTCGCGACGTCTGGAACTGAGGATGCGCTCATCCTAGAGGGGTCACTAGTCTAGTGAAACTCGCGACCCGTCCGGTCGGTCTGAGGATCGAAGGCACCGGAGACAGGTCATCCCCTCCCCGGAGACTTCGCGCCCGGCTGCTTAGTCGCCAACGACTGCGCGGAAAATCCGCGCTTTTGAGAGTAGTCGCACTCAGGCTTAGGGAAACCTTCCGGCGTTGATCCCTGCGCCGAAATACTCTCCCTTCCAATGTCCTGGGTGAACCCCTACTCCTTGGCCCCTTTTTCTTAAACTGCAGGGTGGCACCCCCTTCTCTTGTTGATGCAGCCTTTCTATAAGAAGGCTTAGATCGTAACTTTTTTTTAGGGCTGAGAGTAGACTGTGGTTCGTTACTGCGTGGTGCTATTTCACAAGTCTCCTAGGTGTACAGAGTGTAGTTGGTGGGATGGGAGAGCGGGGGTGGGTGAAGGAAATGGATAAGAAAAAGCGACTGGGGAGCAATGGGAGGTGCAAAATGAGGAAGGGATAAAGATCACAGGGGAAGGGAAAGGAGATATATAGGAAGTCCTGAGATGCAGACCTGTGCACGCAAAATCTTGGTGTAGAAGTTTTTGGTCTTATCCCTGGTTATCTTCCATCTGCACCCTCTCACCCTCCTCCACTTACCAACTACCCCTCCCCCCCACACACACACACCAAAGTAAGGGGGCTAGCTTATTCCCTTCATTCTGAGGACCAGGTCTCCTAGGTGACTGTCTCCAGTCTCTAATGGTACAATCATAGTGCCCACCAGTTCAAACCATTCCTATGAGCCAGAAGACCTTATTTCAGGACTCCTGGAGCAGCCAGCTCCTTCATATTGCCACTGCCTGCACTCCAGACCTCCCAGCAGGGATGAGCTGTCCCTACCCCAAGTACAAAGATGACTCTCAGTTCCAACTCTTTTCTTCCCCTTACAGTCCCAGAAGCAAGTGCACAGTATTGATTTTCCTAAGGATTTTTATTGATAGTCACCAGGGAAACCCACACTGTCCAATAGAAGAATAGAGTCAGAGCCTAGCACATCTCAATCCAAAGATCACTGAATCTTGGGGTCATTTCTTTGCCTGATTTTCCTCAGGCTCCAACTTCATCCTGGTTTACAGCCCCTTCAGTTCCGTGTTCTGTAGGAGGTTGGGAGTAGGATCCTCCACTGAGCGTTCATGGGCTGTCTCCTCAGGTTGGGGAGGTAATCACTCCAACTCCTCTGCGACATTGTAATCTCCCCCACATGAGAGTCTCCTCACCTATATGACTTCCCCTTCTCTTCTACAGGGAAATCCTATGGGGAAGACAAGAACCCAATAGGTTCTAGAAGTAGGTCTCTAGATGTCCAATGGGTAAGACTCACTGGTAAGTAGGAAGACATCTAGATATTGCTACTCTTGGATGCTATATTTTTCAGAAATCATGACTACCCAGATGCTTGGGGAAATCATTACCCTCCCTTCCTTTATTCTGTTTGTTATTGACCTTTTTGATTGCTTGTTTAATCACTACAGCAGAGATGGGAAGCACAGGGTGTGTGAGGCCCAGTGGGAGATATTATTTCACAGAGCTATGCAGAGCTGCAGAGCTACACACAGAAACACTGAGTCACAAGCCTAAGCATGACACTCAGTTACACACAGAAACATGGGCTTAAAAGGCCAAACACAGGGTAGGACTTGGCAGCAGCAATGGTGGGAACTGTTGCCCTAGAAATAGAGGGAATGTGCAGAGGGGGCCTCTGGGAAGGCAGTGAGAGAGGAGCCTGCTGTCTGATGCTTTTGGAGCCCTCCCCCACCATTGTCCTACCCACCCTCGACTCCCCAGGGGGCTGGAATCACAGCTGGGGCTGGCTACAGGTGTTCCCAAATGTCTGCTCCCCCTGTTAGAAGAAAAAGGAACAGACAGGTCATTAGAAAGAGGACTTTGTCTCCCACTTTCCTTTTATCTGGATCTGATTCTCCAATCCCAGACCATCTCCTAGAGGCCAACGCATCCCTCAGGCCAGAGCAACCACCTGTAGGCCTTGCCCCCACCCCTAACCTCCCCTATACACTGACTACTGTGAAGAACATGTCACCCCAATAGCCTGAAAACAGATCTCTCAAAAATGTTTTGCCTCCACCCACTGAGTGGAGAAGATGGTAGAGTTCAACTGTGGGGAGCCAAGAGGACTCGGGTGAAGGGCCACTCACCATGCCTGGGGAGGGAGCCAGCTGCCCCTTCCTCTCCAGCATGCTTAGCTTTGAGCCCACCGCATTAACCTGTGCCAGGACTCCTTCCAGGACAGATTCCAGCTGCAGAACTCTCCTTGTGAGCCTGTTCAGGATTTGAGAGAGACCAAGGAAGCAGAAATATGTGCTTGGGGGATTGAGTGTCTGCAGGGGAAGGAGAACAGAATGGTGTGAGTCTAGCTGGAAGAAAAGAAGGTAAGACCCAGCCTTTAGGGAGAATTAAATGGGGGCAGAAGTTCTTCCTAGGCTAGGACAGAGAAGGTTGTGAAAGAAGTTCAAGGTAGGATATTTAAACACAGTCAGCCCTCTGTCCCTGGGTGCACGTACGTGTAGAATTCTTCTCCTGAAACCCAGTCACCTGCTCCGGTAGCCTCTGGACCCAATTTGCCTGGTGAACTCCTCACAATGGACCAGCCCAGGTTCTCAATTTCAGCATTGAGGGCCACCTGATCAGGAAGTCAGAGGTCAGAGAGGAGAAGATGACTCTGGGAAGCCATCAGCTCTGGTTCTAATTCTCTTTCAGGAACAGGCCTTGGGCTATAGTTCTTGCTATGCTACTTCCCTCTCAAACTCTGGAGACAATGGAATCAGAGTAGTGGCACTGGAAACAAAGCTGGCCCAACCTCTGGAAAAGAATCACAACCCAAAGAAACAAAACACAAGCTCCTTGAGGCCTTGATTAATGAGGTGTTCACTAGAGGCCAACTCAGTTTGGGAAAGGAGGGACAATACCAGAATTCCTCATACTGTTCCTCCTGCCCTTGACTTTTTGGTCTACACTAGAAAGGGATGAAGCAGGAATACTACTGACAGCTAAGGATAAGAGTTTGAAAAATCTCAAAAAGAAGGAATCATCAGGGATTCTTGAGCAATTGGACCTTTCCCCCTACAGACTATTTTAGAGCAATAGTTCTCAACCTTGGCTATGCATTGGAATCACCTGGGAAATTTTAAAAAGTACTGATTTCTGGGGTCCCCAACTTTCACACACACACAGTGATTCTGGTCTAGGGTGTGGCCTAAGTATAAAGATTTTTTTTAAATCCTCACCCAAAGATATGTTTTTTATTGATTTTAGAGAGAGGAAGTAGGGGGAGAAAAATATCAATGAGAGGTAAATATTGATGGGCTGCCTACTATATGCACCCCGACCAGATATCAAACCCATAACCTTTTGGTGCATGGGATGATGCTCCAACCAACTAAACCACCTGGCCACGGCTGAGTATGAGGACTTTTAAAGGCTCCCATGCATTCTAATATGCAGCTATTTGAGAACTACTATTCTAGAGAGCTCTTTCCTGCTCATCTATTGGAAGGTTTTCAGTTTGGGTTTGTGTTCTAGGCAAGTTGACAGGGAGTGGAGGGTGAGCAATTTCCTTATACTACCTCTCCACCAACCAGCTGAACTCACCCTCTCCTCCTCCAGGTCCTGTTGCATTTGTTTTTGCTCTTTCTCATTCAGGACATGATTCCCATCTTGGTCGAACTTGGTGAAGGTAGCTGCGAGCTCAGTGATCTCGTGCTCTTTGTGCCCCAGTCTGGGGAGAACAGGATGATGAAATAACTTCTGACAAGCTGTGGCTGTGATCTCTTGATTATGGACTCCCTACTCTTTTAGCCAGACTCTGGCAGGAGTCTCATTCTCTAGGGAAGAAAGGGACCACCTCATAGGAAAGCCGGGATCTCCCAGCAATTTTACCCCCAAGAAATCACTTGAGTCTATTTCTTTCATTCCTGTCTCCTGGTTCGGGCCCTTGTGATCTCCTACAATGCAAAATCTCTTTGCCTTAAATAACCTGCCCTCCATTTCCTCAGCCTCCCCTTTACTCCCTACTTGAAATCCATTCTCTATAATGCAACCAGGGTAATTGATCTTTCTAAAGTATGGGTCTAAATGTACCCCTTCCCTGCTTAAAATGCCTCTTGAGCATCCTATCCTTTGGATAGAGTAGTAGTGTTTGAGGCTTTTCCCAATGTGATCCTTGCCCATTTCTATGGCCTCATCTCCTGCTATGTCCCACCTTTCACTGGATACCTTAGCAATGAGCAACTACTTATTATTCAGTGCCTGGCCTACAGCTGGTACTTACAATATATTTTTTTAGTGTTTGTTAATATGTTTAACTGGGAAGCTGGGAGAGAATAGCTAAGGAAATAAACCAGTGTTTGTGGGGGAGCAGGGAACCAAGATCAGAGTTTTGTGGGAGTGAGAGATGTATACAATGATCATGGAATTATATTACATTACTCCCAAGAGTTGGTTCAACAAAGTCCAGAACATTATAGAACATGGCCATAGACCTTTAAACCAAGGGCACAGTTCTGAAGGACAGGATCAGAGACGTATAGGCCAAGGTCAAAAGCCTATTAGCCAAGGGCAGAGACCCATAGGCCAAGATCAGAGGCTTATAGGCAAAGGATGTGTGGTAGAGGGTCAAGGATTTATAGACCAATATCAGAGAAAGCTGGATCTCTGATTGCTCACTCCCTCAAGGTGTTCGTGAAATCCTCAAACTGGATCTCCTGCTCCCCACCCTGCAGGACCTTCTGCACATCCGAAACCTGTTTCTTCCTGAGACGCAGCCTCAGTAGGGTCTTGTTGTAGCCCTGGAAAGGGAAACAGGCACCAGTTCCCACAGCCTCCTCCTCATCCCTTCCCCTCACCCCCATCCACAGGATTCCAGGCTTCCAGGGACAGATTGAAAGGACACAAGAGCACAGGCCCCTACACTAGTCAGGAACAGACCAGGACACAGAGCCTTGGACATGGGCCCTGGTATAGGTATGCAGCTCAAGGAGACTGAGTAGTTACCTGTTTCAGGAAGTCAGAAATCTGTAGCTCATCCTTCTGTCCAGCCAACTCCTCCTTGACCTCTGAATATGTGTCATTGATGATGGCAAGAAACATGTTCTGGAGGGTAAGGCAGGGATGTGGGTCCTCATGCCCAGACCCATTAACAGCAGGGAGCCCACTGGCCCTATTAATGATCTATACATGTTCTAAGGGGGCCATGCTTTCAACCCCAGATCTGCAGCCCACTAACCCCTGAATCTCAAGGTCCCCAGAGCCCAGCCTTTCAGCAGTCCTGTTAGTGATGGATCATGGAGTGGTGACCTCACTCCATTGCTACAGTAACCTGACCAGAAAGATATTCCAACATATGCCACAGTCCCTCCATGTAAGGGCCCACCAAGCACTGAAGCCAGAAACTTTCCAAGGTGTTAATATAATTGTGATCTCTTTATCATCAGTCCATGTCTGTATCCCTATCAATTGATCAAATAAAGAAACCTGCTACTTTGTTAATAAAAATCAAACCCAGATATTTCATGGTTGTCAGGAAGAAAGAACAAATACACAACAGTGGTGTAAAAATAGCTAGTGATCCCCACAGGAAGGAGGGTTTTGGAGAATAAGTGTGGAAGCTTTTAGGTGAAGCCACTTCTAATGAGGCATTTTCTCTCTCTTTCCATCCTTGGAGAATACAGGTTTGATGTTAGTGAGGTAGCCTGCAGATGCCCTTATATTGTGCAAACTACCTGACCATGCTGACCACACTGACCAATCATATTAGCCAGCTCTCAGAAGATCCAGCCCACCCCCACAACACACTCCCCATCTTTGATTTTAAAAACCCATTGTAATCCTGAATGCAGAACAGGGCGGGGGGCGGGTGTCAAAACCCACCTTGCAGGCCTTCTACATCTCCCCCCTCAAGTCCCAAATCCCCACCCTGTTCTCAGAAGGACCCTCACCAGAAGTACGAAGAAGACGAAAAAGACATAGGTGACAAAGTAGGCAGGTCCCAGGATGCGGTTGGCATTGTCGATAGCATTGTAGTCAAAGTCCCCAAGGATGATCCGGAACTGAGTGAAACTGAGAGACCAGGTTCTGGGTTTTACCCAGAGCCTAACCATAACCCTGATCCCAACCCATACCCCATCCACTTTCCTAATGCTCTTTAGTGGACTCAGACAGACCCCTCACTGCACCTCCAACCCAATCCGATGGAGACAGGACGATGCACAGATACTTGAGCGCACGCATCTGGGCCTCCAGAGACCCTCACACAGATGCTTTAAGCACAGACATGCCCACGTGAATATACCCAGCTTCCCCGAGGCTACATACACCCATGGAGTTAGAGGATGAGGGGCCAGGGAGGAGTGAAGGGGACAGGACACACACATGCACTTGATGAAAGTACTAAAGTTTTCCACTTGGGTCCCGAAAAGCAGGTAGCCGAGCTGGGCATAGGCGAAAAATACGATGAAGAACATGACAGCGAAGCCCAGGATGTCTTTGGCACAGCGGGCCAGCGTGGAGGAGAGCTGGGTCATGGTTTTGTTGAAGCTGATGTACTTGAATATCTGGAAGGACCATGTTGAACCAAGCAATTAAGAAAGAAAAGAGAAAATCTTTCAACAATCCACTTCAGGGGACTATGGCGGTCACAGGAGTTGCCAAAACAGGCAAGGAAAATGAGACAAGTATTGAGGAAGGGAGAAGGAGTGCACTGAGGTGAAACTGGGAGTAAGGAGTCCCAGGGTACCTTGATCCAGGCAAAGAAGAGGTTGACGGCATTCATGTTGTTGTACTGTGTCTGCCAGAAGGCGAGGAACTCGAAGTCGGCGTATGTATTTGGCTGCTGCAGGAGCTTCCCCATCAGCCTGTTCACCTCAAGAGTTCGGAATATGTGAAAGCCCACAGCTACAATGGAGAGCTGTCATCACAGGGGTTGAGGGGTCAGAAAAGTCAAGGAGCTCTCAAGGGAAGGTCAGCGATGAAGTCATAGGGGTAACACAGGTGGGAAACAAAACATGCTTCATTACTGAGTTCTTGACTATCCCAGGTTCAAATGGAACCGGATAGGATTATTGGGGAGCGTCTTCAAGCCCAAGAGAAGGTTCTGGGGCCAATGGTAAATACCTAGGTTGTAAAGGACCATAGAGAACTGGAGCCAAGTAAGTTTATTTCCCCCACCACTTCCCAGCCTTGGTCAGGAAATTAATGTGTCCTATTAATAGGAATTAGACAAAGATGAAGAGGCAGGATATTTTAATACGAGAGAAAAGGCAGGAGTTTCAAAGGGGATCATAAAGGCAAGAGACAGATGAGGAACAGAGTGTCAAGTACATAAAGAAAAGAGCAGGGTCTGGATCAAAGACTTGAGGGAGAAGGGATGTGGGAGACAAGGCTTTCCCAGGGCTGAGTCAGGGGAACATCAGCCTCTTGCTCAGAGAGCTGTTACAGAGGGATTTGACCAGAAGTCATAAGGAGGACTTGGGACTCTAAAAGGAATAACTCAGAGCCCCTATCAGGGTTGATCCCCCATCTCCTCCCAATATGTCCCAAGTCCAAGATATCTCTTCCTCACCAAAATGACCACCAGGTCCAGAATGTTCCAGATGCTGCTGAGGTAGCGAAGTCGGTGGACGTGGAGCTCCAGGATCTCCTCCACCACATAGTAGAAGATGAAGATGCAGAAGATGATCTCACAGCCAATGATAAAGAAGTCCCAGTTGCTGACATAGCGAATCAGCTTAACTGTGCGGATTTGCCAGGATGGGATGGCACCTCCTGTAGCTGGAAACTCCACCACCAGTCTGTGGGAGGAGAGATGTCTGGTGGGGCCTGGGCTGGGACAGTTACTCCCATTCCCTCCTCTCCCTATCCCCAGCACAGGTTACATGCTTAGGGAAGGGCCTCGAGCAGAGAAGAGAACCAGGAATCGTGGATGGAGGGATGCAGTAGGGAAAGGGGACCCACCTCAGAACACAGAAAAGATTGATATTGGCGTTGTAGACTGAGAAGTCGATGAAGACCACCCGAGTGCCCCTGTCTAGCCACAGGCTCTCCTGAAGGTCCCGGAGAGCCTCCGCACTGCCCTGCCGGGATCCCGGAAGGTCCAGGTAGTAGCCACCTCCACTGTAGCTTGTGAGCTGGCCCCAGTGAGAGGAGCCCCCCAACTCATCCTGTGAGTGATATGTCCACCTGCCGAGGAAGAAGCCATCTAAGCAGATGCCTGAGTCAACCTAAAGCTGATCTCCCAAGGCAACGGCAATACTTTATGATTATCTGGGCTTTACAGTTTCATACATATTATATATACATATCACATATATAAGGTCTACACACTTTGAATAAGTAATTCCAATGTTTCTTTTCTGATTTAACCCATTGAAATAAATAATTATACATTTTGATACATTTTTGGGACACCCTGAATGTATATTTCACATATATTATCTTGTTTGGTGTTTTAGAACTGACGATAAACATTATCCACATTTTGCAAATGAGGAAACCAAGACTCAGAGGTGTCTGAGATGATCCAGCTAGTTAGTGACCAAACTGAAACTCAAATGTAAATCTCCTAATTTTTCATGATGTCACCCAAGACTAGGGAATCACATACCCAAGCCTCACTTTTGACCCCACCCTGAGTAGACCCCTTACAGGAAGCACCAGGCCCATATAATACAGAAGAGTCTCTTTCTGTTCTTGTGGTCATGTACCTAGCTGGGTAACCTCATGACTGTTCTGATTACAAACTTTCTACCCTGGACCCCTTTCTTTCCTGTGCTAGCCATACTTTCTCCCTTTCTCCCCTAATTTGTCATCGATACTTGATTCCTTGCTGCTCTCCCTATCAGTTCCAAGGGTCAGACTGCCAACCCTGAAGCATCGATACTGACTCATATGACAGTATCGATGCTTCGTCAATTCTCCATATTCTCAAGTGACTTCTGGGCAAGAAAAAAAATGCTGTCTCTGGCAGGAATGCCTCCAGAGTAAGGCAAATGTGACTGTGACCTGTATGTGGAAACAAGTCCTGAGGCTATGGTTCAGTCTGCTAATGTGCCTTCTCTGTTCCTGAATGACTCAGACCAAAGTCTCCAAACAGCTAAAGTTGGGACTCAGAGAAATCCCCCTCCCCATTTCTCTGAGTACCCCAAGGCTCTACCTCTACTTTTCCCTATGGCTCTGTGGAAGTGGTTTCCAAACCTTGGGATGGTGTCAGGCCCAGAGGGGCAAGCCCTATAATATTGGTGTGGGAACTCACGCTGTGCCATTGAGGGGCCCAAAGGGGAGCTGCTCTTCTTTGTCCGGAGAGTAGACGTCATAGCAGCTCACAATGTCCTCTCGGAAGTCCTCATGTACCACACAGGAGTCATTGCGGACCCTCAGCTGCCGCAGCCTTGGAACCCCCAGCAGCAAGTTCTCATAATAGATGAAGGAGTGGGAGCCATGGCCCAGGCTCTGGTTGTTGTACCATTTGGTCCAATACAAACTGTCCAGTAGTGGGCCCTGGGCAAACTAGACCACAAGCAGGGTTGAGCCTGACCCAGCCTCATCCTGACCTCTACCCTTAGAATGACCTTTGCCCTCACTCCCTGTTCCCCCACCTTGTCTCCAGTCTGCTTCTGTTGGACTCCTCAGCTGACCCATGAACCTTAATCAGATCTTGACCGAATGTGGCCTTACTCTTTATTTAATATGTATTTAGAAGTTCAGTCTTACCTCTGACTTCCAATACTAGTCTAATTACTGGCTTGATGCCCTGATCATCATCCTGATCTCTCACCTACCTCTACCTTAACTCTAATCTGACCCATTAATCCTTTCATGACTCTTTGATTCAGCCTGATACTGGTCTCTGGATATGGTCTCATCCATTGTCTGACATACCTGAACTCTGGCCTGTATGTGGCCTCATCCTTCAGGCCATTGAGAAGGAGAGGGAGGGGTAGAGGTTATGTCATACTTACATCCCAGAAGTCTGCCATGCTGCTGATGGCCTGGAAGGAGACTCTGGTGTCTGATGGGGTATGTAAGAAGAGCTCAGACATGACTTTGGTGTAGTAATAGGCACTGGAGCTTGTCATTCCATAGGTCACTAGAAACCAAACCAAAAGGCATCCTTCTCACTGTTCCCATCTCCATTCTCCAGAAACAACAACAACAACAAAAAAACACAGGAAAACCCATTGCCCTTGGGCCAGCAATGCTACCTAGATGGCAGTCTACCGGACCCACCCCCTAGAGTTGACTGGGGAGGCTGATGGTGGCGCTGGGGACACCAGGGGCTGCGTTAAGGAAGAGTTGTGGCTACAAGGTCTCCTCCTTCCCTCCTAACTCACCTCAGAGAGACTGAACTCCACTCAGTAACTGTCTCTTGACATTGCCATTCTGAAAATTCACTTTTCTCTTCCTGAACCAGCTTAATTCCTAGTTCTCACTCCCTGGAGCCAAGAAAATTTCATCTTCTGCATCAGATAGTGCTTCATTTTATTTGCCTTATATTTATGCCCTTGGGAAAGTGCCTGCAAATTCTAGAGGACTCCAAGGCCTTGGCCAAATACCTTACAATGGAGATGTGGTCTCCTGGACCCTGGAGTCAGTTTGCAGCCATGGGGGTCAGAGGTAAGCATGGCACCTCTGGCCCCATTGCATCCTGATGGGCACAGTTGTCTCCTGAGAGAGGAACTCAGAGCATCTCCAGATTTAAAAAAAAAAGGACCTGACCTTTGCCCTGAAGAACTGGATCTCCACCAACCACCCTAAGACAGACACCCAGTCTGAAGTAGGGCTGTCAAGGGAAAGTATTTTTCTGGTTAAAAGGCAGAATTTGAGGAGTATAGACATTTATTTTACAGATTGACCCTAATGGATTCTTTTTTCCTGTAGTTTGTAATTTGCTAATATTATGATTTATTTTGTTGCTAAATATTTTAGCTAGGTCATGAAAGAGAAAGATTAAAGAATAGTTGTAGATTAAAAGAAAGTAAAGAAACATGACAACTAAATGCAATGTGTGCATTTAGTTAGGATTATATACTGGACCATATTTTTTTTCTTTTGCTATAAAAGCTATTAGTGGAATAATTAGTGAAAGTATAATAAGGTCTATTCATTAGATGATAGTATTGAATCATGGATAATTTTCTGACTTTGATAAAAGAATGTCCTTGTTTTCAGAAAATATACATTAAAGCAGGGGTCCTCAAACTACGGCCCGCGGGCCACATGCAAATACAAATATTGTATTTGTTCCCGTTTTGTTTTTTACTTCAAAATAAGATATGTGCAGTGTGCATAGGAATTTGTTCATAGTTTTTTTTTAAACTATAGTCCGGCCCTCCAACGGTCTGAGAGACAGTGAACTGGCCCCCTGTTTAAAAAGTTTGAGGACCCCTGCATTAAAGTATAGGAGTAATGGGACATTTTTGTCTGCAATTTACTCTCAAACAGTTGTATGGGTATGTAGCTAGATATATAGAGAGAATGATAAAGGGAAAGCAAGCATGGTAACGTGTTCATATTTGAGAAATCTGGGTGGATGGAGCTCAGAATACTTTGTATTACTCTCACAACTTTTCTGTAAGTCTGTAATTACATAAAAATGTTTAAATAGGATTTACTGGCCTCTAATGAGCAATTCCCTTTTAAGAATTTTCCTTTTCAAATCTTGGGTTACATTTTCTCCTACCACCCCATCTGGAAAAGGCATGACTGGGGTGGACTGGAGCTTGTTCATAATCTTGGAGGGAAAAGGGGCCAATATGGCCTCAGATTAGACACAAGCAACATCATACTTTTTCAAGGGGGACATCAGCAAAGAAGGAACCTTGTTACTTCACATTTCCCCATTTCATTCAATGAAGTCCAATAAATGACTTTACTTCTCTTTAGCCCATATCTGTGATTACCTATCCTAAGTATCTGGAAGACTCGGACTCAATTTTCTGGATCTGGAAAATGGGCTGGAAAACAAATTTCTGCCTCCTGAGAGCCCATTCCATTACACAGATAGAGCTGATGGTCAGTGAGCTGAACTTTTCCTAATGACAATAGGCTGATTAAATTGTTGCGCCTTCAGAATGGCCACTAGGTGGTACTCGTTGCCATAGCTTTTTCTCTAATTCTCCAAATCTGTTACTGCTCAGAATTAACATTGCTCTGAACTGGTTGTCAACTCTTTTTTTTTTTTTTTAAATATATTTGTGTTGATTTCAGAGAGGAAGGGAGAGGGAGAGAGAGATAGAAACGTCACTGATGAGAGAGAACTGTTGATTAGCTGTTTCCTGCAACCCCTGCATGTGCCCTGATTGGGAATCAAACCATGACCTTCTGGTTCATAGGTCAATGCTCAACCACTGAGCCACTCTGGCTGGGCTAAATCTCTATTATTAAGGTTGAGCTGGCTCAGATCACTTCACCCTCATATGAAAAGAACTTTATAACTCTCTGTGTCTGGATGGGCCATGGTAACTGAATATGCTAGGAAAGGTGTGAAATCATCCTCCTATGGCCATTCCTAATCTTTGGCGACCACTTCTAGAGGGGTAGCCTTTCTGATCCTTCATAAGCGTTATTCTGATGCTTTCAAACAGATCTCAGTTTTCTAGAGGGTTAAATTTTACTTTTCAATATTTTTAAAATGTATGCCTTGATGTGAAATGACAACTGATATTTATTGAAAGCTCACTTAGGCTAGGCACTATACAAAGCACCTTATTTGTTTTTCACCAATCTCACATTATTCTCATTTGATATATAAGGAAATCAAGGCTTCCAGAGATTTAAGTATCTTGACCTATCTTGCCAAAGGACATGGCTAATACCAAGTTAACAGGTTGTACTATCAGATAAACCAAGGCATCTTATTCCCGATTCCATGCTCTCTCCATGACCATTGTGCCTTCACTAATGTCATAGTTCTATGTGACCAATTATTTTCTGCCATCATTATGTAGCTGTACCACATAAGAAACAGAAGCTCGCCTACAATTTCCTGAACCTTCAATATACTTCTGTTCCTCCCCTTGTCAATTCTAAGAATGCTCAGTCAAGAAAGATAACTTCAAAAAAGAGCTTTTCTGAAGGTTCTTCAAAAAATTAAAAATAAAACCACTATATCATATGATCTAGCAATTCCACTTCTGGGTAGTTATCCAAAGAAAATGAAATCACTGTCTTGAAAAGATATCTGCATCCCTATGTTCACTGCAGCATTATTTACAATAGCCAAAGCATGGAAACAACTTGTATATTCATCAACAGATAAATGGATACAGAAAATGTGCTGTATATAAATACAATGGAATATTATTCAGCCATCAGAAAAGGAAATCCTACCATTTTCAACAACATGGATGGACCTTGAGGGCATTATGTTAAGTAAAATAAGTCAGACCGAGAAAGACAAATACTGTATGATTTTACTTACATGTGGAATCTTAAAAAAAAAACTAAAAAAAAAACCCACCCCAAAACACCAAACTCATAGATGCAGAGAACAGATTGATGGTTGTCAGAGGCAGGAGGTGAGGGGGGTGGGTGAAATAGTGAAGGTGGTCAAAAGGTACAAACTTCCAGTTATAAGATAAAAAAGTCCGGGGGATGTAATGTACAGCATGAGGACTACAGTTAATAATCCTGTATTACATATTTGAAAGGTGCTAGGAGAGTAAATCTTAAAAGTTCTCATGACAAAAAAAGTTTAACTATGCATGTTGATGGATGTTAATTTATTGTGCTAATTATTTTGCAATACATACAAATATCAAACCAGATTGCACACCTAAAATTAATACAATATTAGATGTCAATTATATCTCAATAAAAAAAGAAAGACATCTTCTTCCCAATCTCCAAGCTTAGTTCAACCTCTTTTGTTAATGCAAGATTCCACCAATCGATGGACAGAACCTTAAAATCCACTAAAAGAAAGTAGAGTAAGCCTGGCCAGTGAAACTCAGTGGTTGAGTGTCGACTTATGAACCAGGAGGTCACAGTTCAATTCCTGTTTGGGGCACATGCCTGGATTGCGGCTCAATCCCCAGTGTGGGGTGTGCAGGAAACAACGATCAATGATCAATGATTCTCTCTCATCACTGATATTTCTCTCTATCCCTCTCTTTTCCTCTCTGAAATCAATAACAATATATTTTTTAAAAAAGAAAGTAGAGTGATAATAGGCAGGCATTTGCTTATAACCAGTGATGGATAAAGAGCATCCAGTTGATGTTAATTGGCATGTAGTCACAAGTCACAAAGGCCAAGGGTCTCTGCCCTCCTCCCCAACCCCATGGTGATCAGACCCAGCCTTGTCCTGGCTCAGAGCCACTCCTATACAGGGCCAGTCCCAGGTGCACCTTTGAGATAACAATACTGTCTCCTAAAACAAACAGCTATTGTTTCCACACAAAGACCTTCAATGTTTCCTCCATCAACAAAAGGCTACAGCCATCCCGCCAAGAAGACAAAGGACTGGAAGCTGTTTCATAAATGTCCTGATGGTGAGAGGGGAGGGGTGGAGGCAGAAAGATCATTCTCCAGCACTTTCCCTGCCTAGGAATAGGACCAACTCCACCTGTCAGGGGCCATTCTGAATTATTGATCATTCCTCAACTATTTATAATGACAGTAATAACAGCTTCCTAATCTGTGGGACAGAAATAATCATATCTATTTCTTACAGGACTGCTGTCAGGATCGAATGAGGTAAGAGTTGTGAAAGCTCTTTGTAAGGTTTAAAGGGTTGCATACTGATAAGGTTATTCTGAGAAGATTGATGGTTCACCCCCATTGCCTGCATTAAAAAGATAGCTCCACTTTAGCCAGATGAGATACCAAATAGCCCTGGTGTCCAGTTCCACCCAGTTCCTAGAATAAAGCATAAGGGAGAAGAAATGTGGTCGGTATGGCTGGCCATTATCATTTTCGAGGGCCCATCCCAGGCCAAAGTGCTGTGCAGGTGATGTCTAACTTCCTTGGCTGTTTTCAGCCCCAGGGACCCAGATCCTGGAAAGGAGCCCCCTGGTGGTTGGTCCCACACCTACGGTCTAATGCTCCAAACTTCCCCCAACTGCTCCTTGCCCCTCTTAACACTTT